ATATCAGGAATCCGGTTCTATACTGAGATGGTTTTAACTTTTAAGATTCAGATTATTATTTTTTTTTTCCATCTGAAATTATATTAGTCATGAAATTAGATTCAGATTATATATTTGAGTTTCTACGCAAATCATATTTTAACTTTAAATCTCTTTCACACTCNTTAAATCTAAAGAGAAAAGGTCAGACTGAATTATTAAAAATATTTATTACCATTATTTACAAAATTATACAGATGTTGTCACTGGTCAGTGGTCACTGGTCAGAGACAAGGACTGACACGATCTTAACTACTCTTGGTTAAAAAAGTTATTTTAAGCACTAAATCAAAAGTTACTCCATTTATGTATTGATAACTATCAGAATTAATCAAAACATGCATAAGTTACTATAATAAACCACTTGATTGAATCTATACTATTAAAGTTGAAGTACAAAAATAAAATGTTTGGAAACATGAATAGTAAGTATTTAAAATTAAGATGATTGGAAACAAGGATAACCAACAAATCTAATGGACTTATTTATTAAACTAAAAATTATTACGGCCCAAAGTACCATTATTATTGTTTTTGGGTTTTCTATCCTTGATATTATTTTATTTCCGAAAATTATGTATACATATATGTATTCGTGTTTTAAATGTATGTGGAATAAATCAAGAATAATATATATTTTATTTATAAAATTTATATTGATTATTGTTAAAAGTTTTTAACAGTAATATACTAGCATTCCAATTCTTCATTAAAAATGAACTTAAAAATTTGACTAAATTGTTTAATGTATATAATTTTTCACCAAATTTAGTCAAAAAAACTTTATAAAATATTTTCGGGTCACAACAATTTACCGACGTCCTATTACACAATTTAGTGATGAAATACAATGTTTAAACAGTATACTATTACTTAGTAAAATTGGAACCGTAAGATTGTAATTTTTAAAATATTTATATATACCTTAAAAATAAAGATCCGCCCAATCGGACGGATTATGATCTAGTTGGGATTAAAACTAAAGCAGAGAGAAAATTGACTAAAATCTTGAACTCAGATCAATTTATTCAAGACCCATCTCTTAGTGCGGATTTTCAGTTTTTATCAAGTAAACAAACTACTTTAATTTCATGTTTTGATATGGTAATGTTTATTGCTCATCTCATTCATATGTATATTTTTACATACACACATAAAAACGTGGCAAATCTAATGTTAGCAAGGGTGAAAAAAAAAGTACAGAGAAGAAAAGTCAAAAAAAAAAAAGACACAAGGACAGAACAGGGAAAGCTGTCTTCTATTATAACTCCGTAACAGGACAGTACTCACTGTGAAAATCATGAACACCAGAAGCAGCCCAAAGCCGTTGATTAAACTCCTCTTGCATCTCCTCAGGAACAAACGGTGTTCTACAAAGAGGACACGTCTTCTGATCATGATCCATCCAACGGTCGAGACAGCTCCTGTGAAATATATGTCGACAGTTTCTCAGCCGTCGGATCTCTTGCTCTCCTTCGAACTCGTATAGACACACGGCGCAATTCTCCGGGAGATCCTCGCCGGAGGAGGAGGTCGTCACGTCTTGGAACTTGATGACGGGTAAGATCTCGCGGATTAGGAGGGCGGAGAAAGGGGAGCGGAGTTCGGGTATTCGGGTCGGGTATGATGTGTAGTCTGTGGGCCAGGTTTGGTCCGTTTCGAGGAAGTCGGAGAGGCCCAATAAGCGGAAGAGGGAGAAGACGACGGTTCTGATGAAAGTGAGGATTGAGAGTGTTTGCACGAAGAGCTTTGGGAGGAAGACCTCTGTGTAGCCTACGGGGAAGCCCATTGGAGCTAGAGAGAGAGAGAGGGAGTGTGTGAGAGTAATAAAGGTTGAGTTTTTTAATAAAATACAGAGTTTCTTTTATAGAGGTGGTGTGGGTGGAGGAAGAAGAAGGATTAAACGACGTCGTGTCATGTAGGATTGATTTTGATAGAATTAACTGACTGTGACATCTGTTAAGTGAAAGGATAAAAAGAATAAACATTTACTCCAAGTTTTGTGTCAATTTGAGTTTAATTTTTTTTCACTATACGACTCTAATTACTAACAAGAAAAATACGCATTCAGGTTTATTCCATAATTTATAAAATAAAACCAACAAATTTTGTGTTAATTTGAGTTTAAAGAATGTTTCACTATACTACTCTAATTACTAACAAGAAAAATACGCATTCAATTTTATTCCATAATTTATAAAATAAAACCAATAAACTTTGTGTTAATTTGAGTTTAAATATTTTTTCACTATACTACTCTAATTACAAACAAGAAAAATACGCATTCAATTTAATTATATTATTTATAAAATAAAACATTTACTCCACTTTTTCCCAATGTTTTCACCATCTCATTTATTTTTCACTTTTTAACTCTATTTTACTTTAAAAATACCCTTCAATCAGACCCTAAAAATGGGAAAAGCAACAAAGGGAACAAAGATTGGTCTGTGAGATGTGACTGTGTCACCAACATTATTAGATTATTTTATTCGTCTGCGTGCGTCTCTACTGTGATACCATGTTTCTTTAGGAATATAAACATCTGCAAGTTGCACGACGACCGGCACACGTGGTACGTGCGGTTGATAGGAGAGGTTGATGTGGATATGGTTTCGTCCTATTATTCATGACATTCATTGCATGTTACTATTCGGTTGATGTGGATGTGGTTTGGTATTCGTTGAATATTACTATTTTACACGTGAAGTTTACTCCAAGACTGTAGAAAATATCAAAGACCGGGTACGTACGTTCTCGATATCTGGACATTTATTTCATCGAACACACAAAGAAAGCTTCGTTACATTTGAAAATATTTGAAAACAAAGGATGTTAATATGATGAGCATAGTTAACTACTGGTTTAGTGAAGAAAAAAAAATCGAACGGCTGGGCTTCATTACGTGAATCATACGTCAAAGAGTTCTATATGGGTGCCTAGTCTCTATTAGCATTTACTGAGAATTTTCCTTTCCGTGTTCCTTTCAATTGTTTCTTTACTTCATAACAAAGGATGGAATATAAGAAAGAAAAAAAAACAGTTTTATTTCATAATCAGATAACAGATTCAGTAACTATAACTTTTCTTAACAATTTTACATATTTTTTTTAAATTTTTTTTGAATAACCCGGTATATCCTATCATCCATCAAGGTGGATCCAGACTAGTAGCGAGTGTCCGTATCAACCTACGTTATTGATCGGAGTACTCCTCGATCACCGGACGTTGGAGGAACCCAAATTTTAAATTTTACCTCCAGTGACCAGATTCGAATCCGGATCTGTATTGGAGCCAAAACTCCCTCAAAACTATTAGACCGTCCTCACTTAGTTAATTTTATATATTTTAACAACAATAGAATGGATGTTTAGTGGTAGACAAACCGTGGAAAGTTAATCGATCCGGATTTAAATAAAACACACGATACTAAACTTCATCTATCTTTGGAAAATTAGTCTGAATTTTTTATAAGTTAATGATATTCTCACGTTAATCCAAATAAGAAAATAAAAGATATATAGACAAATTAATTTTGTGGTTCTATGTTGGTATTGGTTGGAGAGTCAATATCAACGAATTAGAATATATTAATAAACTAATTAACTTTTTTACTATGCATATTTACTTTGTGCTCGTACGTATACTAAACATGTTCAACTTTTGGTGGAATTTCAGTTTTATCATAAATTTAATATCATTTTATGAGTTTACCTTTAAGAAATAATAAATTTTCATAAATATTTTAAGTTTATAAGAAAAAAACTAAGCTAACCTTTATGAATCGTTTATAAATGATTTAAGAAAAATTTATAAAATATTTATATAAGTTTATAAACTCAATTCCACCTCTAAATATTAAAATTTAAATAGTAATCATTAAACCATAAACTTAAATATTAATGTATTTTTGATTGAATGTAATTTTAAAAAGTGATAATCAACTTATAGTATCTCAAGTGACCAAGTCAGTTCTTAACTTTTTAATAGTCTTACTGAATAGATTTTTATCGATGTACTTTCATATGTATATACAACAAAATGTGGTTGAATGTATCAGACTAGCATGTTATATACATATATATATATATATATATAAGTATAATTTAAATTTGGAAATCATGATATTATGCCAAGAGATGTCTAAAATTTGAATAAATCTATTGATTGTAAAAGGAAGAGACATTAGGTCGAGTAAAACATGACAAAAGAAAAAGTTAAAAATAAAGAAAGTAAATAGAAACGAGAGAAGGCCAAGGGTGTGTGGTGACTGGTGGGTCATGGAGGCTTTAAAGAGAGGGAATAGAGATGATTAACAAAGACGACGAATCAATCTTTATCTAGACCCTCTCATTTTCGAAAACGATATAAAGAAAGAAAATTGAATTGTTTAACCGAGTGGTGGGCCGAAGAGAGATATAGGAGACAAGTCGTCGGTGGTAATGATCCTTCCACCAACCGGCAATGGTTCATGGCTATACTTTTGATCGGACAAATGTCGTTTTAGCCGGAATTGATATGAAACTAGCCATACTTTTAGGTTTATCATAACTAAAATCGTATTTTAGATAATCAAGTGATTATATGATAAACTAGCCATCTTTTTCATAAGATGTATACAAGCATGGCTTGTTATGGGAGTGTATGTATGACACAATAAAAACCATAGATAATTGAATACAATTGATACTTTCGGTATATTCATGAATCATGAGGTTGTATGTGTGTGTTTGTCTTACTTTGTTTTTATTTTTTTATTTTGGTCTGAAGGTGGTATGTCTTAATTAATCGAACACTTTTTCCGCTGAAAACCAGCAATATTTGATGTCTTGATAAATAATTTTTCTTTAAATAGTTAATCAGTGTACCATAACTTTCAAATTTTGTTCTTTTGTTTTTGGTATAAGCCTATTAAAAGCTTCCACGAAAACACACAAAAATTCAACAAAACTCATAAAGTATTAACGTTCGAGCTCATCAGGGTTGCTATATATCAAAAAATTTCAAAGTCGTCCTGACAAGACGTAGTGTAATATTGAAACATTAATATTCATATATATCGTATATTCGTATAATTATTTAATTAGAGCAACTCCAATGGTGTTACTCTCACTGAAGTCCTTAACCACTAAAAAAATATTATTATTTTTTTTATTTTGAATAGTTAAGGATTTTAATCTAAATTGTATGTCCAATGGTGTTCTCCACTTAAGAGTCCTTAAGGGTTCTTATTTCAAAAATCAAAACAAAAACTCAAATCTTCACATCATCAAATCTCTTATTTGAAACTTTATGATCCAAGCAAATTACATCGACAATACATCCATTAATAATCCCTTCCAAATAACTCTCAGCTTCTTCACTAAAGCTTGGAACTTCAGTGATTTCAAGAACTTTTGAAAGCATAACAAAAAGCTACAGGATACTTGCATAGCCAATTTGACTGCAGTATATGGATACAGAGAGAGAGAAGAGCTAAGCAATCACACTAGCAAGCAGCAACTAAGGTTTTATCTACAAAGCATAAAACATAGTTTCAAGGCTCGAACTAAGTCTCCGGAGAAGCCAATTTCAAATAACAAAAAGCTTTCTGGATACTTAAATAGCCAATTTGATTGTCATAAGTTGATACAGAGGAGGTGAAGAACTAAGCAATCACACTAGCAAGTAGCAACCAAGATTTACCAAATCTCGAAACTGAGACTGGATTTCTCCACCTCAAATTTGATTGAATCAGAGCAGGAAGACAAGTGATTAAATTGGAAAAAAAAATCAAAGAGCTAAATCATCATCATCAGCCTATCTATTCTAACTACAACACACAACTAAGATCCATCACAGTGATCACAAACATTCACAAGATTTCTCAACCTCTCCTTAAACCGGATCTCAAATTCTCTCTGCTAGTAATTTTCGGTTTAGACTACTAACAACCATTTTCCAAAACCGGATCTAACCAGAAAATCGTTTAGCTTACCCATGAGAGTCGATTCAAGGAGATGTTTAGCCACGATAACCTCATCCGTCAGGTTCATTGCACCTTCCTCGATCCACCGCTTCTGGATCTTCATCATACTGTACACACTCGCCACCAGAACCACGCAAACCGTCACGGAAACAGTCTGAACCACCACCGGTCCACGTCCGCGCTTCGCGCGATCGAGACTCATGATCAGAAGCTTCCTAATCGGCGTTTGAAGGAGAGCGCTAGTATCACAGCGACCTCAGAGAGTAAAACCGCGAAGAGTAAGTGCTGCATCGTGTTTGATCGGAGAGAAGTTTCCCGTCGGCAAATACGAAGAAGGAAATTTCAAGGCTAAAGCAAGGGAGTTTGTTGTTGGTTAACGCCATTGCAGAAAGCTTTAGGAGGAGGAAAAAGGGAGGGAGGGAGGAGTGAAAAGCTTGGCGCTTGGAGTGCCACGTCACTAAGGATTTAATCCTTATTATCCCTTAGTTAAGGATCAATCCTTGCCAAAAATGAGGTGACTTAATATTTTTTTAATCCTAAAGCACTAAGGATTAAAGCCTAAGGATTCCTATATTTTACCGTTGCACATGCTCTTAGTTTTACACGAGAAGAAGTAATATACACTTACACATTACAGTAAATCAGTACACATTAAATAATATTTGAAGATAGAATGTCACGAGATTCAAACCAAACTTCTTTGATCTTAACTAGTCACCGAATATGCATGTTCTAATGTATATTACACGACAAAAAATCAAGGAATTTGTCAATTACAATCGGTCCAATTAATCAAAAGAAGAAAAAGAAGCTCTAAAGCGATAAGGGAAAGGTATGGAGATCGAGTGTCGATTAGGAAATGTTGTAATGAGGCCGAGACAGTCACATGGCCCAATTGCTTGTATGCCTTTCATCTCATCTCCAATCTCTCCTACACTTCTCTTGTCATGTCACCGTTTAGTATTTGGTTACTCGCACCATCTCTTTCTCTAGTCCCATCATGAATGATACGAATATACTTGATTGACTATTTCTTGTTCTTTTATAAACAAATTTATACGATAATCCCAACAACATGATCCAATGTTTGAAAGATTGTAAATGATGTTTTGGTGGAGTCTGCGGTTCAATCATTATTTTATAGAATTTTTTTTAATTGAAGTCACGCTAAGAGTAGTATAGTTCACAATATTATTATTTTTGATTGAAAACTGCGATCATTTTTTTTTTAACTATCAAATCTTTATTGGAGTTCCATCTATGTAAAGTCTCTTCTCATTTAGCAATTTTATTCGCTTTCTTAAAAAGGAATATATACATATATGCACTGAGTAACGTGATTTGTGGTGTTGCTTTGCATGTGTAGTGTTGGAAATAAAAGTTTATATCATTATATGTGAATGATAAAAGAAAACATACTGTTCGTTAATCAGTAATCCTTAGTGTTTGCTTGCAGATGTGTTGGACTGTAATGTTCCCTATTAAGTAGGGTAGTTTGAATTTTTTGTTTATATGTATGTGTTATAAAAAATATATCGTCAAATTACACAAGGATATTCATAGAACTAGAAGCCTAATAATTGTGCTAGTAAGTGTAGTAACAGGTGTCGACTTGTCTTTCTCGTAAACGTCACATGGTACCACTTCATGTATTTTTGTCCTTGGACCATGCATGGACCATGTACCACTCAATGTTTTCATTTGTAATTTCGTGAGAAATAGAGTGCATTGAATTTGTAGAAGGTACATGTACTACACCAGGTCGTGAAAAATGTACAAACCCATAGATTTTTGCTTGACGCCCCATAGCTTTCTCTCAAGTATGTGGCATGGTATTATTTTCAGCCCAATCACACTTACACTGGGAGTCTGGGACTGGTCCTATTGATAACCTTTTTGCACATCTTGCTGACCCTGGCCATGTACTCTCTTCGGTGTAAGTGTGATCCGAATCAAAATTGGGTTTTGTATGGTTTGGGTGATTTGTTTATATAGATTATGGTCGAATGCAAAATTAGGGTTTGCCGTAACACTGCTCTAAAATGCACATCAGGGTCTATAAGAGTGTATCTCTCAATTTTTTTTTTTTTTAAAACCATACCTCAATTCGTTGTTGTTTATATATCTTAGAAACACATTTTCGAGATATAAGCATAACTAACAAGTAACAACTGCCAATTACAAGAAAAGACTATGGAGTCTCCAAATTTGTGATGCAGAATATGTAAAATCGCATTGAAAACTAAATTATCATTACTTGGCTCATCTGAACTTGGATTTGGGTCTAAGTAGTTAATATGGTGGGTGGACTGTAACAAATGATTGGTCTATTGTTTGATATTAGTCTGAAGATATTCCCAATTCGGATCAACCAATATGGTATATTTTCGAACTAAGTGCGTTCTTTCCAGATTTAGCTGAATCAGCCGATAATACTTATATACAAAAAAAAAGAATATGAAAACCCAACTTTAATAAATTTTAACCCAACTTTAATAAACCCAACTCTCAAGTATGTGGCATAGTATTATTTTCAGCCCAATCACACTTGGGACTGGTCCTATTGATAACCTTTTTGCACATCTTGCTGATCCTGACCATGTACTATCTTCGCTGTAAGTGTGTATTTTCTTTATAGGCTTTCGCTGTAAGTGTGTGTTTTCTTTATAGACTTTCACACCCAAGTGAGACGTCAAAGGGGAGGTTTTGAGAGGAGGGATGGATGCGTATTTGTGATCATGTTTGTACAAATATCGTTAAAAGTATTAATTACGTATTTTTATTTATATAGATTATTGTCGAATGCAAATTAGGATTCACCGTAACATTGATCTTTTCCTGACTAAAATGCACATCAGGGGTCTATGAGAGTGCATCTCTTCAATTCTTTGTTGGTTTATATATCTTGTGAAACACATTTCAAGATATAAATATAACTAACAAGTAAAAACTGCCAATTACAAGACTGTGGAGTCTCAAAATCTATGATGCACAATATGTAAAACTTCATTGATAACTAATTTATCATTACTTGGCTAATTTGAATTTGAATTTGGGTCCAAGTAACTAATATGGTGGGGGGACTGTAACAGATGATCAGTACATTCTTTGACATTAGTCGGATGATATTCCAAATTCGGGTCAGACAATATAGTACATTTTCGGATTAATCCACTCTATATTTCTAAGTGTGTTACTTCCCAGATCAGCTGATATGACTTATATATATAAAAAGAAGAATATGTAGAACCCAAGCATAATAAATTGTAGAAGAAGGATCCAATCTTACGTACAAAATATAGAGACTTGGAAAAATATTAAGAAAGCTGTTTAATCATAATTTGAATACTGTTAGTTGAAAAAAGAGATCAAAACTAAAAACCTCAATGGTGGTTTTAGAAAATATGGGTCGTTAAACCCATTGGGCTTTGGGTTTAGTAATCCACACAATTAAAATCCGATTCATACAAACCGGACGTAAACCAAAACAAAACCGCCACACAATTTATAATCCGATTCATATAAACCGGCCGGTCTAACTTTCTCATTTTGTAAAGCACAGCAAATTTTATCACTGCTCCGTTTATGGATCTGTGAGATCCGTCCGTCTTCTTCCCCTCACTTCTATGATCTCTGTGTACAAACGGAACCTCTAATTTCGTCTTCTCGGAGTCAGATCCATCCTAGAGAGAGTGATAGATACTGCCACGGATTCTCTATTGGGAGTTAGTTACAAAGAGAGAGAAGGCAAAGATGTATATGGCTTATGGATGGCCACAGGTGATCCCGCTTCTAGCGGGATCGTGTCCTTCTTCTCAGAGAATCGTCTACCTTAAGCTCGCCGGGAAGCTGTTGCTGGTTGTTTCTCCGTCTCACTTGGAGCTTTGGGGCTCTTCTCAGGTTTTGGTTGATTACTTGTGCATTTTCGAAATTAAAAGTGTTGATTTCGTTTAATTAATTAATTAATTAGCTTACATTTGATTTTTTTTCTGGAATAGCAACGGGTGAGGTTGGGGAAGTACATTAGAGATGAGAAGTCAGTGCGTGAAGAAGGGGAGAATCTGAGAGCTGTGTGGAGTCCTGATTCCAAATTGATTGCTGTTCTTGTAAGTTCTCTGGACAATGTTTAGGCGGTTAGGCGTTTTATAGAAGATTATTGTTTAGGCGACTGCGGTTAGGCGTTTTATAGAAGATTATTGTTTAGGCGACTGCCTAGGCCACGCTAGGCGGTGGCTAAAAGATTGTTGTTTAGGCGAATGCCTAGGCCGCGCTAGGCGGTGTTAGTGTATTATAGAAGATTATTGTTTAGGCGACTGCGGTTAGGCGTTTTATAGAAGATTATTGTTTAGGCGACTGCCTAGGCCACGCTAGGCGGTGATTAAAAGATTATTGTTTAGGCGAAAGCCTAGGCCGCGCTAGGCGGTGTTAGTGTATTATAAAAGATTATTGTTTAATCAGATGCCTAGGCCGCTGTGGTGGTTAGGTGCTGTGTTTTAAATGGCGCATGGCGCTTTAAGGCGAGGAGGTTTGAGCCATCTATTAAATTAGGGTTTCTGCCTGGTTTAGTGTCGGTTAACGTCATAGTCTCCATGGCGCGCCTTTGCGTCGCCTTTTAAGGCACGCCTTATGACCAATGCGCACCATGGCGAACGCCTTAGGGACCACCCCCTCGCCTTGGAGGTCCATGGCGGTAGGACTGTCGCCTTGGTGCGCCTTGCTCCTTGGCGCAAAAGGCGCTCGCCTTTTTAAACACAGGTTAGGTGTCTTTTAGAAGATTATTGTTTAGGCAAATACCTAGGCCGCGCTAGGCGGTGGTTAGGCGTTTTATAAAAGATTATTATGTAGACGAATGCCTAGGCCGCATTAGGCGGTGGTTAGGCGTTTTATAAAAGATTATTGTTTAGACGAATGCCTAGGCCGCGCTAGGCGGTGGTTAGGTGTCTTATAGAAGATTATTGTTTAAGCAGATGCCTAGACCGTGTCAAGGTGGTGGTTAGGTGTCTTATAGAAGATTATTGTTTAAGCAGATGCCTAGACCGCGCCAAGGTGGTGGTTAGGTGTCTTATAGAAGATTATTGCTTAAGCAGATGCCTAGGCCGTGCTAGGCGGTGGTTAGGTGTCTTAAAGAAGATTATTGCTTAAGCAGATGCCTAGGCCGCGCTAGGCGGTCGTTAGGTGTATTATAGAAGATTATTGTTTAGGCCGCGCAGGCGTGGTTAGATGTATTATAGAAGATTATTGTTTAGGCTGATGCCTAGGCCGTGCTAAGCGGTGGTTAGACGACTTATAGAAGATTATTATTTTTTAGCGACTAGATTGTTCTGGAAAAATCGTTTTGTTTAGATCCGATTTGCCGATAGTTATTTTTAGAACAATAGTGTCT